CAGACGATATGGTGCCCTTTGTGTGTCAATGCGAACAGTGTCCCAATGCTGGCAATGCGGAGGCGGCCAAAGTTTGCTTCGATCACAGCATCAGCATCAGCTATGCCCCTGAATGTCCGCCCCCGCTGTATCTCTGCATAGAATGCGCCAATGAGATCCATCGCAAGCATGCTAACCTCGGATTCGGTGACATTCTCCATCCCATGCAGCAAGTCTCCATGGTATGTGAGAATAAGAATTGCCGCTCCACCGACAAGGCAGCCTTCTCGATCTGTTTCTCCACCGAGTGTGCCAGCTATAATGGAAACCACCCGATACGTTACTGCGCGCAATGTCACAGCAATCGACACAATTCGCGACGCGGTGGCGATCATGTGGTGCATCGTAGTCTCCAAATCATCTGGCAGATGGATCCCGAGATTCAGATGCATATGGTGGAGTCCGTGATTAGTTTGCTACGCGAGGCTAAGCCGCTCAATTTTGAGCCCGGCAAGGATGGTTCGGATGCGAAGAAGAACGGTGGCAACGGCACACCAGACACCATATCGCTGGAAGAGCGACAAATGTTGGGTCGCTATGGCATTTGGTTGTTGGTGGGCCGCTGCACGCCGACACCGGAAATGCCAGTCGAGGTGCTGGGACGCATATTGAGTATGTTGTTCCATTGGTTCCACGTGACTGCGTGCTCGTATGATGGTAAGTTGTGTAGGATGTACTTGGATTCAAAATAAATTAACAAACATATTTTCCCGCAGTGGCTAGTCAAATTGAGAGCACCATCGAGAAGCTTAAGGTAGAGCATGTCTGCAATTGGCTGAAAGAGATTTGCCGCATACATTACAATGTAAGCTCGTAGGCTTGCAGTCTCAAATAATCACAATTACTAAACCTTCGTCCTTAGGTTTTCATCTCCTGCCTGCTACCACATCCACCAGAGTACGCACGCGTGGGCGGACATTGGGAGACGTTAGCTTCGCGTACCAGTCATCTCAAAGAGGGCCTACAGCGTCTCATCTGCTTGGTGCCCTATGAAGTTATTACTTCCGAAATCTGGGACTATGTCATGCCACACTGGATGGAAGCTATCACCAACGATGTAGGCGAAAAGGAGCTACATGAACTCAAAATTGTGCTGAGTAAAATACTTGATCCCGAAATGTCGCCACTCGGCTTTGACGCCAAAACTATGTACAACTTTGTGGCCATACGCTTCGAAAAAACGACAGCAAAGGTCCAACAGCAAGCCTTGCATTGGTTACAGATACTCACAAAGCTGGGCATTCTTATACCGCTGGTGCAGTTGTTCGCCATGTTCGGCGACGGTGTACGCATCATGAAATATGGCGTTCAACATGAGCTAATGCGCGAGAAGGAGGGTCAGGCTAAGAGCCCAAAGACACCATCAAAGGAGCAGAAGAATGAATTGGGCAATCCACCACGACGTAGCTCGATTTGTAAGTTCTTAAGCTCCGGTCAAAGCTTACCTCTAGAGAGATTAGCTTAACGTTTCATTCCTAAAATTTTTACCGCAGCTCCCGTTGTCGAAGATGATTCGGGCAACACATCCGCCATTTCTGACGATGAGGCACCTACTAATCGACACACGGAATTCTCTACCGATGCCGAACATAATCTCACTTGCTGCATTCTAATGTTGGATATATTGTTGAAGCAAATGGAGCTGCAGGATGTCGAACAGCACATGGGCATACACACTAGCGTTTGCGAGAATGTTTCACGCTTGATTAAGTGCATGGTAACAGCAGCACGTGTGGGTCTGAGCAGTCACGTTTGCTCACTTAAGGTAACTAAGCGGTTGATGTGCTTAATTGAGGAAATTAACAACACATTTCATTCTTTCCTTATTCCACTTAGGTGGCTGAATGTGCTTACTGCGAAGCATCCATCATGTGGCACCAACTCTCTACCAAATTGGTACAATTCATGGCACCACTTAATCCAGTTCGACCCCCAGATGTAAGTTGTCTAAAATAATTTGTACTTAGATAGAATAACAGAAAGGGAGAATGTTAGAAGGCGGCAAAATTATTAATCGGATTAAGTTAATCATTATGAGTAAAATAATTTAAATCAGTCATTCATTATTTTATGATTTATATTTTTTTCGCTTAGAAAACACACAGGTTTACAAAAAAAAATGTTGCTTCATATTGAACCAAACTTCTATATCCCTGTGCTATTCGAAGGTCAAGTAGGGAAAAATTCTTTGAATAAACCTGAAAATTCAGATAAGTATATAGGTTTTTAGACTCGCGGAACCCAAATCCGAGTTCCGTTAACCTCCATAATGTCACGTTCGAGGTCATTTGAGGGTCAAATAGTACAAAAATGTATTCAATAAAAATAATTTTTTTTTTTAATAAAAATATTTTTTTATTTATTTTGTTGTCGCTGAATCCAAATATAAGAGTCCCTTGATTCTTCAAGGTCATCTAGAGGGTCAGGCCAAAGTCATCCCAAGGTCAAATTCAAAAGAATTGTATTGAATTTTCAGGTTTACTCAATGAATATTTCTCTACTCGTCCTTCAAATAATCTGCAACGTAACTAACCTAACAGACCTCGAATTGGCATTCAGGGCGTCGAATAACAAAGGGATATGCAGAAACTTTTTTTTTGTAAGTCTGTGTTATTTGCATTTAAAAACTTAAAATAAGCTTCTTACTATAAACATTTATTTTACGCTTGAAGAAGTAAACTTATTGCAAGTTAATTAAAAAATATCACCCAAATTCATAAAAAATAAAGAAGACTTTAACTGCTGTATAAATCGGAAATTTGTAAGAAAATGTCACTTTATAGAACACTATAAACCTATTTTATTTTTTATGATTAAGGCCATATATCTATATATATAAAACAAAGTCGTGTTAGTTACACCATTTATAACTCAAGAACGGCTGGACCGATTTTTATGATATATGTTTCTTGNTTGTCTACCTTCCGAATAGCAGAATAACTATTAAAACAACCGCTAGGTGGCGCTGGAGTCGAGTTATTAGTAAAACCCGTATTTATGGTCCGATTCGTCCCATCCCAGCAAAAAATCGGTAATCGCTTTTAGTGGTAACGTGTTCTAGAAGGCATAGCGTTGTAATGCCTTCGAATTTTTTCGCTTCTTTTAGGCATTGTCGGTAATGCAAAGTAGAATGTCGTACAATATTTTATTTATTTCGCTTCTTTGTTTCAAAAGTAGAGTATCCTACAATATTTTTTGTTTATTTCGCTTCTTTGCTTCATTTCGGGGAATGCAAAGTAGAATGCTGCATCCTAGTCAGCTGAAAAATAGAATGAATATCAAAAAAATCTTCTCGCATAAAAATCATGTTTTGCTTTGTTCAATTTGCAGCGAAGTTGAGGTCAGTCAATGAAGTGAAGTACATGGGTGAGGAAGTACAATTTAAGCTTAATTAAATATGCATGTATGTACATACCGATTTTTAAGTAAAATCTAAATACCCAAATACATACATATGTTTCTATAAAAACTGATTTATAAAATTTTTTATTAATTTTAATCTTTTAAGACATTTTCTGATTTAATATAAATAAGTATGTACTCATCTGGGCATTCTAAATACATTAGTTTCTCTGTAAGGCATTCTTTGTTCGCTTCTCTGGATTC